ACAGGTCGAATAGGAGGCTGAGCTTAAAGGTCCTTCTCACTTCCAACTTCTTATAGCAGGAATAGCTTAAGAAAGATCAACCGAATGACCTGTGTCAGTCTTCTTATATTTAGCCAATTCGCACACGTCTTATTTTCCATTTGCCTCTCAATCAAACCAGCCACTTGCGTCTGCACTGTAATCCGAAGTATTTGACGAAATAATAGGAACACGTTAGAGCAATATCAAATGGAACGTCCACAAGTAAGTGCGGTGCAAAAATTCTCGTTTTTTACATCTGATTTATTTTGCACTAAAAGTTAGTATCTGGAAACGATCGGAAAAAAATCCAGCCTAAATTCATTTGTTTTGGGTTAATAGGTAGCTGTGAAGAGTATTCGCCAAGGTTAATTCCGGCACGAGCCAAACTACAGCTTTTCAAAATACTTGAATTAACGAAGCCATGGGATTGTGCGTTAAGAACAGGAGCCCTGACAAAATGCTATACTCAAAATATCTATAATTCTATCCAAAAAGACTAAAATAATTAGAACCGGCAAAGTCTGAATGGGCATCTCCCCACAGTACCTTTCAGGCTTACAAAAAGGAGTCAGAGCTGTCTGTTTATGTATAGACAGGCTTCGTTTTCTTAGACCGCTATTTCAAAGAGATCGTTTTCTTAGGAATGAGGGAAAAGTGCAGTTTTGGCTGTCCGAATTTAAGTCTTTCATTATAATTAAATATACTCAGTACAGCAGAGGCGTTAAAAGCTTCAGTAGATGTAATTAAATTATATTATGTTGTCCCTGACGGTACAATATGCAAAGAAACTCATCCACGACTGAGCAAAATGATTCAGTATGTTTGGACTGGATATATTATTAAAATGGAGCTTCTAAACTCATTTATGTCAAATACAATATTGCCAAAAAGCTGTGCTCGAAGACATTCACCTTGTGTAGGTCACATAAGAGTGTGCTTAAGCCTATCTGGATTCTAATAATAAGTTGCGCAAATTTTTATTTCTAGGGAATATTTGGAGCATGGCTGTAATCAATTTCTAACTTGAGCTGCAATTCTGTCTTCGCCTCGAATTTGTTTGAACTAGCGAGAACGTAACAAAATGACTGAACAGCACTGTTGTGAACGCAGGCATGGCGCCTTTAGCTGCATACAATTTGCGTACGAAAGACTTAAGAGCACTTTATGGGGTATTATTGGTTAGCTACATAGCTAGTATGGAGTTTCAATAGAAAAATCAGTCTAAGGTCATGAAAATCCAGACATTCTAAACAGCAACAAGTTTCGGTTTGAGCAATAGCGAAATTAAGTAGCCTTTAGGTTTATCCTCCTCCGGTGGCCGTCGGACTGTGAAGGTGGGCTGTTATGCGTAACGTGGTTTGACACTTGGAAGGGACAGGTAAGCAGGTGTGAATTTGGCACCTGACGCCAAGATTGCTGACTCACCTACAAAGAAGACAAGCATGACGCATCCGTTTCAAGTGGCTTAATCGACGATCGGCTGTTCTCTGGCTATGAATCAAATTACCATATTTGTTTGCTTTTACTTTTATAAACAACAGTACACTCCTCAACTCTCCCGATCACTAACTCTCATAAAAAAGACACCGGCTGGTAAACTGATTAATTCAACCAATCGGCAACATAGCACCTATTGTCGGAAGCAACTTAAGTTTCCAATTTAAGACAAAAACATCATTACCTTACAAAAGATCGCGGCGTTTTGACACTGTTATTCCTGGGAATATAATCATCCCTCGGCAGGCGGCTAAATTAGGAAAAGTCACTTTCAATCGAGAATGAACATTAGTGCGATAACAATTTAAGGATAATTTTGCATTTTATGGATAGAGACGAAAATATCTACCATTGATAGAATTCATTTACATCTGCTATGAGCGAACTATGGACACTCACATAACTCCAGTCTGTACGGGAAAATATTTGCTCATCATTTCAATTAAAGTCTATGTCAAGTTGACTGCTTTAACAAACAAAAGTAAAAGTAAACAAGATTTAACAGCTTCTGTTTCGCGCCCACAAAAGGATGCAAAAAAGCAGACTATATCAAGCGCAGCTGCTCCTAACACAACTAGAAAATAGATAGCATCCGTCTTGACAAAAAAGCCTGTTAAACACAACGGAAATTCGAATATGGTATCCCAGGTCTACCACGCGGTTGAGGGTGCCAGTTGAGAACCAACATCCAAGCATCAGCCTGACCATCTTCTCATTTGAGCGGCCGACCACTATTGTTTTCTCAAAGGCGGAACTGTGGTTCAGCTGTTTTATGTGACTATAGACCAGAGACAGCTTATAATTGCGGTTGATTGAAAGTTGGTGTTCGTGCAATCTTGTGCCAAGGCGTTTGCTCGTTTAACCAACATCTCTAATCACAATTTTGGCATGATATGCTGCAGGCCACTGCCGATTGTTCTCTTACTGGTAGCGGGTCTTTTTTGCCTCATACTTTACTGTCTGATTCTTGATTTCGGTTTATGAGCAACACCGATCCCGATGGCGTTCCGGATTTTTGTCGTCGTCTCTGGAGCGTTCATCTCATGGGGGATCGCGGGCAGGAACTTTGGTTTTTTTCTGCCCGACCGCCCAAAATGAGGTTTTCTGAGACCTTTGAAAAATGAATGTGATCCGTCTACGCTCGGCTGGAATTCCTGCACCAGAGCCCTGATGAGAACATCCGACCGGGAGGCCTCAGATATGGACCTCCTCTGAACACTGACCTATCCCAACCGACGATGACACACTTTAAGAAGAGAATGATCAGGGTGCTCGTACGATACTGTCGAGTTCGAACTCACAACTACCATCGAATGATTGAAAATCATTTGCTAGGCTCAGATTTGCGCTCAGTATTGCTTGTCGGCGTGGGTGGCGAGGCAGAGGTGGGCGGGGTGACCTCGGGTGATGTCGTCCGGATGCTGAAATTGCGCAGGTGAATGCAGTTGAGATTTGCGTGTTTATCCTTTGGCTTCGGCTTCGAATATTGCTGTGCCTGTCTGCACTGTTCTCCTCTACGTAGGTCGGTCCCGGGGGAGGTTTTCCCAGTTTGCCTGCTTGATCTGCAGGACCTTCAGGAAGTACTGAAGAACTTCAACAGTAACCACCCAATCAGCCACAAACGTAGTTGTGTAAGGACGCTCTATCGGCGTGTCAAAACGCACTGCAGTGAGCCGGGAGACAAAATTGCTGAACTACAATACCTCCGACGGGTCTTCAAAGCCAATGGCTACCCGCGCAACTTCGTCGACCTGTGCCTACGCAAAAGGGACAAAAGGCCTAACCGCACGGACACCAAATCTTGGCGGGCACTTCCGTATGTCAAGAACGTTTCGGAAGCTGTCGGCCGCCTTCTCGCACCACTTGGGGTTGGAGTGGCACACAGACCGGAGGCAGCCATCAGACGTCTGGTCATGAAACCGAAAGACCCACTGCCACGGCTAGAAACATCTGGAGTCGTTTATCGGATCTGGTGCAGTTGCGGACAAGGCAACTACGTCGGAGAAACCGGAAGACAGCTCCGAATGAGAATGGCCGAACACGCGGCAGCGGTGCGCAGAAATGACGCCAGCTCTCAAGTTGCAGCTCATTCGACGAGATCCGGCCACACATTTAAATTCGACGAGGCCGAAATTCTCGCAAGAGGTGACAACCGAGTGAGCCGGGAGCTACTGGAATCATGGTTTACTGGCCCCCAGTCCATCAACAAGTGCAACGATCTTCCCATTCCATACTCCGTACTGAAACTTCGCTTAGGCGGGGTAACAAGCCATGCGGGGAGCGCAGAGGTGAACACTCTTCACAACACCGGGGTCGATACGTCAGATGGTCGAGCAATCATCACGCCAACATCCAACGCACGTGATGAAATTGCAGCACTTATCGACTCTTATGTCGGCCATCAAGCAATGATCACACCTAGTGCGACAATCCCGGATGAAGGGGGGAGCCATGAACGTTCATAGGTATGCGGTAGCATGGCTACTGCATCCTATAAATACCGCAGCCCCTTGTGCAACAATCACCCGTTTCTGCTCTTTTGTCTCTGATGATGGATTCGAGTAGGAATCCGAAACGTCAGGCTAATAAAGCTCTTGTCCCGGCGATCGTGTCTCCTTCTTCAACCTTCAGGAATGTTTACAGGGTATCCTCATAGTGCCGGACTTGAACCCCTTGTCTGCGTCGAGCCCTATCGACATGTCCATAGAAGAATCGTTTGGGTAGGCTTTCGTCGTTCATCTGTACGAGGTAGCCGCTCCAGCGTAGTTGTGGTTGTCTCAGCATAGCATAGATGCTGAGGATTTCCGTCCGCTCCAGTACGTCCGTGTCTGGAATCCGGTCCTGCAACTTCAGTTTAAGTATCCGTCGGAGACAATTAAGGTGGAAGCGGTTGAGTCTTCGTGCCTGCTTTTAGTGTCTCCCAAACAGGCCACGTGGTAAATGCGCTAGACCAACACAGGGGCCATATCGGATCCTGACAGGCGTTAGCGGATTTGTGCACAATAACAAATGCCAACATTTCGGAGTGCGGTGTTGGACCCGGTTGCCGGCGTACGCGCGCACGCTGGGACCCTACCACATCCCATTGGTGTTGTCTATCACAAACCTGGTTATTTACTGTGTGGACCAGGGGGTGTGGAGTGAAACGCCAAGGTGCGAGTTCGACCGTGCCATCCGCATGCGCCTTCTCCCGCCTCCGGTCTTCTTGACTCTGTCTTGATACCGGGTCTACGTTGGGGAGGAGGAGAGTGTAGTGGATGCTGTGCAAGTCTATCATCACCATAAACCAAATTGTGGCACAAATCACCGTCCCTGCTTCCACTCTGATGTGGAACACACGGTGGACATCGTCAAAATCGACGGTAGAACTATCGTGCCTCCGTCTTGTATACCGTCCAAGTCTTTGCTCCATACAGCAACGTCGGTAGGGTGCTTGCTTTGTACGTCCTCAGTTTCGTGCTGAGTTGATGATCTTGACGATTTCAAACTGTGTTTTGCAGATGAGCGAAGGCTTGACTGGCCTTAGAAATTCGGCACGCCACCCCATCGTCGATTTTGGTGCTGCGGGAGAGGGTGTTGCCCAGATACGTGAAGTTGTCCATCACTTGCAGTTGGGCGCCGTTCACGTGGACTTGGGGTGCAACGTAGGTAGCGTCGGATGGCGGTTTATACATGACCACAGTCTTCTTCGTGTTGATGATAGGGCCGAAGTTCTCGCAGGCGGCGGAGAAGAGATCCATGCTTCTTTGCATGTCTCCTGCAGTAGTTGCATGAAGGGAGCAGTCACCAGCGAAGAGAAGTTCATGGACGGTAGTTGTGGATACACGCGACTTGAAGTGCATCCGCCTGCGATTGAGGAAGTGGCCTTCCGTTCTATGGTCGACGCGGATCCCTGGGCGTTCGTTACGGTAGGCGTCTATTAGCATGGCAGAGAACAGAAGACTGAAGAGGGTAGACGCGAAGCTGCAGCCTTTCTTCACCCCGTTGGTCACTGAGAATGCCTCCGAGACAACTCTATTGTCCGTGACTCGAGATATCATGCAATCGTGGAGCTGACGCACCATCTCAGTGAATCGTTCAGGACAGCCGAATTTCTGCATGATTTTGCACAGTCCTTCGTGAGTCGCCGTGTCGAAGGCTTTCGTCAGATCCACGAAGGTACAGTAGAGGTGGGTCCGCATCTCCTGACATTGCTTCTGCAGTTGGCGGGCGGCGAGAGCATGTCGGTGGTTCTGCGACGACGGCGGATGTCGCCCTGGCTTTCCGGCAGGAGACCCTGTTCCAGATGGATGTTCAGACGTTTGAGAAGAATGCGAACTCTGTTCAGCAGGGAGATGCCTCGGTGGTTTTTTCAGAACTGGCGATTACCTTTTCGCTGGTAAATATGGATGTTTGTGGCGTCCTTGACGCCACATCTACTAGAAGAGCGCCGTTAGATTACCCATGAGTTGGGGGCCACTGCGTTTGTAGACTTCAGCAGGGATCACGTACGATCGGGGCGCCTTCCCGCTGGGGAACTGCTGTACGGCGCTGATGGTTTTGTGGAGAAAGGGCGGTAGGTCGAGATCGGTGTTGACCCCCACTTGAGGCAGACGGATGATGGCAGCGTCGGAGATGGCGAAGGGACGGTTGAGGACGCTTCTGATGTGCCCGGCCCATCGCCGTAGAATTTGTGTCCTCTCGGTGAGTAGGGTATTGATGTCGGCGCTAAGAATAGGAGCAGTCCCTTTGGCTGTGGGACGGTAGACAGTCTCGATCGCGTCAAAGAAATTCTTCTATTCGTTTCAAACCGCGCACCCCTGAACCTACTCAGCCTTGCGAGCCATCCAGACCTCCTGCACCTCACGCAATCGCTGTTGAAAAAGACAGCGACTACTGTAGAAGACTTCCCCATAATTTTCGGTGGGGCGAATGACGCAGGCTGTGGGCAAGCTGTTCTTCTCGGTGAGCAAGTTGCTGATGGCGGCGTCGTTGTCATCGAACCAGTCCTGGTGTTGGCGACGTGAGCGAACAAGGACAGCCAGGGCCGTCGATTGGACTGTGTCCCGCAGTTGGCATCATCGGTCCTCCACGGAGGCGTTCTCGTCAGTGGCGGTGGCGGCAAATGAATGCTTGGCTAGCCTTTGGACTGTTCACTCTTGAAGTGGTGAAAGTGAGCAGTCAAAGACAACAAAGCACTATTCCTCTTATCTGGGAGTCGCTTACCTTGGGTCCACCCGTCGGCATCCGGGATCGTCTTTGTCACAAGCACGTCCAGCTGGTCTCGCCTGCGGACGAGGACGTAGTCCAGCAGGTACCAGTGTCGCGACCGAGGGTGCATCCAGGTGGCCATCTCTCGCATTAGGAGGCGGAAGTAGGTGTTTGTCAGGATGAGGCGGTGTTCTGCACAAGTTCGTAGGAGGACTAGGCCACTGTTATTGGAGTCGTCGAGACCATGGGGACCCAGCACTTCTCTCGACGCAGCATGGTCTGTGCCGACGCGGGCGTTGAAGTCGCTAAGGACAACCGACTAATCCGTCTTTAGCACAGTCGCCAGGAGGGCGTGCAGGTCCTCGTAGGATTTGTTCCTTGCCCCGTTAAGGCCGGTCATCGAAAGGGGGGCGTAGACGCTGACGATGATGGCGTTTTTCCATCCCCGAGAGGCAGGCGGAGGCTCATCAGGCGATCGTTGATGGCCTGCGGCAGGTAGGGTAGTCGTCCCACGATGTCGTTCCGAATGGCAAATGCGACGCCCGCGTCCCGTCGCTCTGCTTCGGGACGACCGCTCCAGAAGAATGTGCAGCCGGCATCCACATCCTTCAGTTGGCCTTGTTCGGAGAACCGGGTCTGGCTTAGTGCAGCGATGTGTACCTTGTAGCGCGCCAGTTCCCGAGCCACTAGCGCCGTCCTCCACTCCGGTCGGTTGCTTATCGTTTTGTCTAAAAGGGAAGGGACATTACAGGCCGCGAGATTGAGCGGACTCACCCTGCAAGCCTGTGGGGGTGGGGCGGCGGGGAGGAGGGAGAAGAGAGAGCCTGTTGTTCCTTGTTCGATTGCTTCGGCCGTGTGTTTTACGTCTGCGAAGACGATCAGTCTGCAGACGTCGTGGTTCTCCAGCATTTGTTTAGGGCACCTTTTTTAGACCCGTCTCCATTGCGATAGGACTTCTCAGACATCCCAGACGACTGACGGACTGTATTATGGGCCACAACTTTGTTTAGTGGTAGAACGATTCGAGTTGACCGCAGCCTCTAACACCCAGCACATCCACCGTAAGTAGCTCAATCCACACACCGCAGCCCACCACGTCCACCAACAGCAGCTCCGCTGCCGCCACCATCACTGAAACCGACCCTGACACCGCTGATCTATCCTGTTGACACCGTTGTCGCACCTTCACCTCACACATCGACCTGGTCGGTTATTTGCGAATCCATCACACAGAGACTGGCAAACCATTGCCTGGAGCACAAACATACACCAGACGCATTTGCCTCAACTGCCCTCACTGCGCCTCGAGCAGTCACCCAACCCTTGGACTTATTAGGCCACATGCACATTCACGAAAACCTGCCGTAGAAAACCGCCGGCTACACCACACTACCACATCTTCCCCCCACCTGCAACACACAACATCATCAACCAAAAGCATCCAGTCGCCACCTCCCACGCAAATGGGAAGTGTGCGTCTCAGTTCCATTTCCATGCGACCCCTACTGCATGTGAGTCTGAGGCTATCGCGGCGCGTCAAACGGTGTGGCTTGGAAGGTTGCCGACTGACGCTCTAACTCTGTCCACGCAGTCCGTCCCGTTGTGTGTGTATTGTGTGGAGTGGCGGACTGGTGAGCTGGGAGACGGGCTGAACCGGTACCTTCCACGGCCCTCACACTCATGCGGGATGTACACCGCTCAACCCACTTTGTGTGAAATCCTGACGCTTGTGTTTGGGGGATAAGGTCGTGCGTGTGGCGCGCGCGGACAAGGTCACTCGATCAGGTCAGCCACCACGCCCATTACCCGCCCAAGTCAACTGACGGGCTCGGACAGTGACTGAGGCTTGGGAATGGGAAGGGAGAGTGAGGTCGACGACTCAGCGCATTTTCCTCATTATAAACAATCTGACGCGCTTGAGGCTATCATGGTGTGCTTGGAAGGTTGCCATCTGACGGGATAACTTCGACCTCGCAGTCGGAGCAGTGTTCTGTGCTTGTGTGGAGCGGCCGGCTGGTGGTTTAAGAGCCAGGCTGCAATGGTTCCTTCCAAATGTGACCTTTTTGCACTTCCACTTCGTGGGGTCCGAACTGGGGGTGGCAGCACGTCTAGGTGCGGTTTCGGCCGCGCCAGCCCCTTTTGTTATTGTTGTTGGTTAAAATCCAGGTCATTTGCTGTGTGGACCAGGGGTTAATCGGTGGAGAGCTAAAGTGCGGGCTCGACCGTGCCATCCACCTGCACCCTTCTCCGCCTCCGGTATTCTTGACTCTGTCTTGACACCGTGTCTAGGTGGGGGAGGAGAAAAGAATGTGGTAGCTGTTGCGCAAGTCGCCGCCCCTGCCTCACCTTGCTGTGGAACATGTGGTTAACAACGTCGGCAACGACGATCGAACTGTCGTATTTCATTAGCCTAGGAGTCGGGTGTTAAAACGGGACATGAACGGTCGCAACCGTCCGAATACCTACCTTGAGGTCGGTCAGAATATTAGGTCAGCGTATTTGGAACCGCCGGCGTGGAAGGGGAATAATTTTTACGCAACGGGACATTGTCGACCACAGTTCCCCGCCAAGTACAGAGCGAATTGAGGGCATCCTTCGTGAGGCAAGCAGTAAGCTGGATGATTTGAGCCTGCACTCTGCAGGTTGGGGAGCCCGCGTCAGTTGTGAGAGGACATGTTCGACTCGCGCAGGGGTGCAACTGAGGCGGAAGCCGGAAGGTGGGTTGGAGTGACAACGTCAAATTGTGTCGCCATTCGACGTGGGCGTTTCGGTTGCAGGGCAACTAGGTGAATGCTGAGCCATATGAATGCATCACTAACGTAGGATGACTTTTGTCCGAACAAAAAGAGTTGGGGTAGAATGCGACGACGAAAGTGTGGAATTTCATAGATGCTAATGCTTTGGCTTGTTATGAGCATGCAAATTACTCGCGAATCACAGTTTCTGTGGTAATGGACAGAGGAAAGTATTAGAAAAAAATAAGGAAAAAGTCGATTTGATCGTTGGGACATGAGTTTTTGTAATTGCTTAACTAAACTTTTTCACCACAATGTCTGACCGCAATGTTCTAATCAACTTCCAAAAAGTCAAAAATAACTAGAGGATCGCTGCTTTGATGTCCAATCCCATAAAAACACCGGCACGTGGAATTAATGCCAGATTGTTGGAACCGAGAGCTCAGGTGCGGTATCGCAGGTCGGCCGACGGGTTGTGAGAGCCAAAGTAACGGTATTGACCTTCCAAAGCTGTACAAAGAGGCCGCCCCCCTCCGGCCCATCGTATCGCCAAAAATACTCCTAGTTCCGAACCGCATAGTTGCTGTTTCGACGTCTCAAATTCCTGAACACTGCTTCAGACACCACGCTCTGTTCGCAGACATAATTCTTGGAGATACTTAAGTCTCCTGCTAAACGGGGTCAAAACATCGTTTTATTTTCTGCTTCTCTTTACTCCTGTTCCCCAGATCAAGATCATCGAACTATCCTTAGAAGGAAAATGCAGTGGAATGGAGAATCGTCTTGGACACGCCCAAACCCTTAAACTCCCGAAAGTATGTCTCAAAACGTATTTAAAGTTCGTCTGAGCGGACTGCGAGCAGGTAAAACGCGCATTGGTGGGTTCACGATTTTCAAGCGGTCATGCAACGGTGGAAGCCGTATGTCTTTTAACATCGCGGACCGAAATTCCGGGCTCGGTATGGGAATGATACCTCCATCGTCATCAAGCACGATCGGGTTTTAGCACTCAAAAAAGATATCAACGTCACTTTCCGGGACAAACAATGTAAGATGCGCGCGGAATGTGGGGAGAAAAAAACTGATTAGCCTTCCTAGATGTCCTCACCTGCCACAAGGATTGTGGTGGCCTAGAAACCAAAGTGTTCAGAGCGACATAAAATACGACGCAGTAACAACCCCAAACGCATTTGCGTGAGGACGCCATACTAGAGTGTTGAGGTGGACTGCAGCTAAACGGAAGATAAGGCTGTTGGATATCAATATCTTGGAGGGGTTCTCAGAGCAAAATGGACACCCTCACAACTTCCACTACGAGAGCATGGACAAACGAGACGAGAGACAGTCTAATCATCCAAAAATTTTGGCGAGCGTACCCGTATGTCAAGGACATCTCGGAAGCCGTCGGCGATCTTATCACGCCCCTTGGAATTGGGGCAGCGCATAGATCAGAGGCCGCTATTAGGCAAAATTATGAGCTTAAAAGAGCCACTGCCACAGCACAGAACTCTTGGAACCATTTACCGGTCTTAGTGCAGCTGTCGACAAAGCAACTATACCTGAAAAACTCCAGACATGGATGGCACTCCACACAACAGCAGTCAAGAGGAACGACGCCAGCTCCAGAGTCGCGGATCATTCGACGGAACCCGGTCACCCATTCAAGTTCGATGAGGCCGTAATTCTCCCTAAAAATGGCAAATGCCCGAGCCTCGGGTTGTTTAAGTCACGGTTTTCTGGTCCTCAGCCAGTTATTAAAACCAATGGTTTTCGGCCTTTATATTCTCTGCTGAGACTCACCAGGAGGAGTGGTTAGCCGGGCGAGGGCCGTGAGGTAAGCACTGATTTCGGCATCGGTGTCGTCGAACAAAGTGGCTCAAGAACCAAAATTGCAGCAATTACCGACTCGGTTACGGGTCCTCAGGCAATTATCGCGCTATCTGCGCCATCGCACTATCTCCGAAGGGCAGCAGCCGCCAGTTTTTATTATTTTGCACTGGCATAGAATCTGCATCCTATAGATACTGTAACACTTACGAAAAGCATGATTCTCATCTGATTCTGTATCTAATGATCGATTCTTGTGTGGATCTGAAAATTCAGGCAAGTAAAAAGGCTCATGTTCCAGTGATCGCGTCTACTTCCTCCCGACCACATCCTGGAACTTGCTACCTTGTTTCAATCAGCAGCGGTGTTCAGATGATGACACATTCGGCCGGTTGTTCGGTCCAGTTTCCTTCAGATTCTGGACCTGAGCTTGTGTAGTCGATTTTTGTCGATAACGTCCATCTCAACGCATGCCGGTGTATCGACAGTCCCGTTTCCCTATTTACGGAGACGATGGGTGACGCAAAAATGTAACAGGGTCCTATAAATTGACAATTTTATGGCGGTTGCTCTCACACAAGTCGGACAGCTGTGTTTCGGCCACATCGAGGTCACCGATTGGCAGTTGCTCAATGTTACTTTTATTTATAGTGTTGCAATCAACAGGCCACGACTCGACTGGAAGACGTCAAAATGAGGGTGTTTCTTGTGTGCAGAAACCGAGTTGCTTTCTCTGGCAGCTGTGGCCGCCGACTAGTGCAGGGGGTGCACTGATTGTGTTGCGCTGTACCTGAGAGAATGGGAGGCTGTGGCGTCAGCTAATTCTATGGATTTGCGGATGATAGTTCAAGTGTCTTGTGCCAAACTGGTGCGCAATACAGCACGAGGTAAAGACGGCTCTGACTGCGTCAATGCCCATATGCGCATACTGTGGTCGGCTAAACTGTGAAGTCAGCGCATTTGCAACCTCTCACAAGGAACGCAGATAGCCCTGCCAAGGCGAGACGCTGAATAAAAACATCCGACATCGCAATGATGACTGTCGGCTCTAAATTAAATTGGATAAACGCAGAGTCGAAAGGACGGTCCGCGTTCTAGTAATCGGACATTATTCTACTTTAATGAATTTTTATCGATCTGATTGGCTTTGGAGGTCAAAATAACTTTGTCATCTTGTGCCGTGTGTCACAAATTGTAACCGTCTGACAGGCTGTAAATCGACCGGCTTTTCAAATGTATAAAGTTGCACGAATATTTACATAGTATTCAACAGGACAATTAACAACCAAAACTTTCTGTCCTGGTCTCTGCCCATGATGATACTTAGGCACAAAGCTTCTCACGCAG